TAATCGGGAGAGTATATTATAGCTGCTTTATTTATAGTAGGAACACCGTTCCTTATAGGTATCTTATAGCTTACCTCTAGCTACCTAGAATACTATACCTTATAATAAACCTATAATATAAGTTTAGTAAGATAAGTTTCTTTTTAACTAGTATAAGTCCCTTAAGCTTATTAAGGAATATATACTTATAACTAAGGCGACTATAAAGGTAGACGGCTAGCGATAAACTCTTACGCGCTAAGTATTAGCTATACTTAGCGTATACTAATATAGACTCGCCCTTAAGAAAGTAGCTTTAGTATAAGAATAGTAAGCGGCCTTCTTTTAGGATATAGCTTAATAGCTATTAATCTTATATAATCTCCCTTAGCTCCTTTCTTTTATACTTATAGTAGTATAGTATATATATCTATATCGGCAAAATACTTATATTATAAAACGCATAGTAAAAGTCTTATACTATTTATACCTTTCTCTTAAGTAATATTAGCGTATACTATATTTAATTATTAGATAATCTCTCCTTTATAGTAAAGTCTTCCTTTAAAAAGCGTAGTATACTCGCTAGGTCCTCGGCCTATAGCTCCCGTCTCCTTTACCTTCCGATTCTACTTTAAACTTATTTTATCGGGCGCTCGTCCTAGCTATAAAGACGGGCTCTCTTCTCCCGCCTCTTAGGCTACCTCTATCCGCTCGGCTTAGCGTCCGCTAGCCTTACCGCTCTATCGTCTATACCCTAGTCTAATACTCCCTTTACCCGCTAACTCTATCCTTAATAGCGCTTAAGTAAACCCTATATAATCGATACTACTAATTGCTCGCTTTATCTTAGGTTTTTAAGTACTAGCTCCTTAGGCTAGATAGGTTAAAGTATCGCTCCCTTTTTTAAACGAACTATTAATATATCGCTAGCCGCTACTATATCGCCCTACTCTAGATAATAGGGGTCTATAGCCCATAAGCCTCTATATTCTCTACGCGATAGGGGCCTTAGAATCTAACTACCGGCCTTAATATAAGCAACCGCCTTACTTAGCTTTACTATAAGACTATCTACTATACTACTACTACCTTAATATTAAGTACTATAAATAGACGATATATTATAAAGCTTTAGCTCTTAAGCTCCTCTTCTTAGATAATCTCGCTTATAGATACGCTACTTCTTTTAAGTAGGAAACTTCTTAGATTACTTCCTTTATTACTATAGTATTTCTTTCTCTATAGTGCTTTCCTACTATATATATAATATAATAATAATCCTTTATATTGCCCTATTACCCTGCCTATATATATCTATACTCCCGGTCTTAGCTAGCCTATATATATAACTTATTAGCCTAACTTTATTAAAAGCTGCTCTTTTATCGCCGCGCTCTCTCCCGCCTACTTTAATAAATCTTAAATAACCGCTATACTAAGAAGAATACTATTATATAGTTCCTTTTCCCGTTAATATAGACCTTTAGTATATATATAAATATCGGTGCTAACCGCCTACCTTATACTTTAAAGTATACTCCCTAGCCCTTTAAATACTATCTTCCTTACCTTACTTATTAGTTCTTAAATAGTATCTATAAGTCCGCCTTAGCGTATAATATACTTATAGTATTAAGGTCTATCTAAACTAAACCGTTGTGCCGATTAAGGCTATTAATACTAAGAAGCTAGCTAGATTCCTAGATCGACCTTAGATATCTAACTTTATTATATCCTAATAGTAGACTTAATAAGTATTACTATTTACCCTAGAGTAAATCTCTATTTAGCCCGGATTCTCTAGAAATCCTCTTTTTTAATTAGATAATATATATCTTAGTTATTATTGCGATATCTTAAGTATCTTTAAGTCTTATCTTATACGTCGCGCTTACCTTACGCGGGGGATAAACCCCTATAGTAGGGCCCCTCCCTAAGGGGGACCCCTCCCTTACTAGCTTAGGCGCTTAAGTTTACTTTTCCGAAGTTAGAGCTCTCTAGAAATTTCTAAGGATTTTCTATTAAGAGATAGCTAATATAAAGTACTAGCTAGTAATATCTAGGTACTTTTACTTTAGCGGGTTAGGCCGAATAGAGATTTACTCTAGGGTAAATAGTAAAACTTAACTTAATATAGCTCTCGCTTAGCTATATATAATACCTATCTAACTACTAATAACCTTTTAAGAGGGATTCTTATAATACTACTATAATCTCTTTCCTTCCTTTAATCTAATTTACTGCTACTATCTACTCTATAGAATAATAATATTAAAGGATATAACTAAACTTTCTTTTTCTTTTATAAACTTACGCTTAATACCTATTATTCGCCGACCTTTAACTTCCTATAATATAACTATTACCTTACTTAACTTCTAACCCTTAGCTATTAATATTACTTACGATTATTAGGCTAAATAGTTAAGGCTCTTCTAAAATCTTTCCTAGCTAATTCCTATATACTACCGCTTCCGATCTATTACCTATTAAAAGGGAGTATTTACTAACTACTATTAAGTCTCCCTTACCTTAGCCGCGAACCCTCTTTTAACTAGTAAGAAAACCTACCTTATAAGATACCTACTATTACTTTACGTAACCCCCCCTTCTTTATACTTCTACGCTAACTATATCTACTATATCCTTATAATATTAAACTTCTAGCTAAATATCGATGCCTCGTCCTTCTTAGTCCTTACGGTAACCTCTTAATAGCTAGAAAAATACTAGCGCTAATATATCTATAATAGCCTTTATCTAGCTTAGCTACCTATCTAGGTTCGCCTACTAAAATAAGTATTATATTAATAGGCTTAATATAGAAACCCTAATAATAGTCTTCCTTTTAATACCCTTATAGCTATTAACTTTAGAGTATATAGTAATCCGGTTAAATACTAACGATCTATTAACTTATATCTTCTTTAGCCTTAATATTTCTATATATAACTAATAGATAATCCCTTTTAAATAGACCGAGTAATAGTTTTTTATAGTTAGTCGTATTTATCCCTTTACCTTAATATAGGAAATCGAGCGACGTAATAGCTTAGAGTTAAACGATAATAATATTATAAAATATACTATCCCTATCACGAAAAAGATATAGCCGCCTATTAGATACAAGCGACAGCGTTAATTAACGCATATAGTATACGCGATACACCCCCTTAGGGATATCGGGTCAATTCGTCCCGGGATACCTGGATATCCTAGACCACAGCGGGAATTTTTATATAGGCAGGCCCCATGCTGAAACCGCGCTCAATTGCGCTGGCGGGACTCGAACCACGGGCCTTCGGGTAATGCGCGCCAGGCTAGCCAGAAGTGCGCAGTCACCGGAAGTTCCCGGAGGGGTAACCCCTCCGCCCGGGCTCATAACTGTCACGAAAAAGATATGGCCGCCTGTCAGATACAAGCGACAGCGTCAATTAACGCATATAGTATACGCGACAATCCCCGCGCTTATTATCCGCGATTATAGCTACTAGCTATAGGTCTATACCCTTAACCTCTCTATTATTACTACCCTCCCTAATAATTGCTATAAAGTCGTCCCTTATACCCTTAGCTCGGCGGATACCTTCCTAACGATATAACCTATTATCTCTTTTACGGGACTAGTTATCGGTTCCGGCCGCGACCTTCTATATAGAAATTCGGCCGTGGCCCTTAGCGATACTTAGCTAAGGTATTATAGCTTTATCTAGCCCTCGACCTTTATTTATCCTAGGATTCCTAGTAAAATACCCTATAAGGGCTATTATCCCTTCTAAGTTTTCGTTATCTTCCTTATTTACGCTAATCCTTAGACCTCCCTATATAAGAGGATAACTAAGAGGCCCGATAGCTAGTTCTAGCCGAACGCTCTCCTTACCTATATAGGCAAAATCGCTAGCTTACTAGATTACCGTATTATAGCGTATGCCCCGGCCTTTAAGTAAGACTATATCTTCTTCGTCGTCCTTAATATATAGACCTTCCTCGATAGGGCTATATCTAACTAAGCTTCTTCTATAATATAACTACTACCGACGATACCTAAGCGCTTAGTCGGAAATCCCTCCAACTATACCGATGCGTTAGCTAAGTTTACCTCTCTTAAAAAAAATAAGGGCCGCCTTAGGCCGCGTCCCCTCTATACCGCCTACGTCTAGGTCGGTCGATCCCGTTATAATAGTATTAAGCCCGTTATTGCCCGACTCTAACTAGACCCTAACTAAGAGATAGCGACTTTCTCTAGAAACTTCTACTATAATTACGAGCGGCGATAGTTATAGCTCTACTAAATCTTTTCTTTCTTAGGAGGATCCTAAAGAGTTAGAGATAGATATTAAGCTAGTAAATTACCTAGACGTATCCGTCTCTAACTCTATTACACCTCTTATATCGATCTCGTCCCGACTAGGCCGCGCCCGATATCCGCCTAAGAATATTCTATAATTAAATTAATATAAAAATATAATATAACTAGGAATAAGTTTTATTATCCTTAAATTCGAATACGAGAGACTTAAATAGGGCATTTCCTTCTCCTCTTATTCCCCCTTTTATATATATAACTAAACTTCCTTAATATACTCCTTACCTAGTAAGTTAAAACCTATAAGTTCTAGCACCTATAAATCCTATAAGCCTTCTACTCGCCTAGACCTATATTGCCTACCTATATCTATCTTCTCAACCTGCCTTCTCGTTACACCCTTTGCGCCTTTGCAAAGCAAATCTCCCCGCAGCGGTCTAGGCCGCCTCTCTGACACTCGGTCTCGATTTCACTTATACAATACCTCTATCTCTCGCCGCCTCTAGACCTCGCTTCTCCTGTCCCTTCTCCTGTCGCCTGCTTCGTTCCGAAAGGCCTCTTTGCGCGAGCCGCGGCTGGCGAGCCTTCCCCTCGTGGTTGTTTACGTTATAAAGGGGAGCGATGCGAAGAAACTACTGGATGGCCAATACTTTGACCTGGCTGGGGAATCGGCGTGTACGAGTGTCTTCGAGCCGCGCAAAGGACCAGTGCAATGCTACAACTGCCAAGAAATCGGTCACAAGGCCTTCTCATGCAAGAAACCGCAGACCTGCGGTAGATGCGCGAAGCCGGGGCACACCACCATACTTCTCAGGGAAAAGTACAGGGCTGGGAGACATCTCGTGGATATAAAAGTAGGGTTGCGTAGCCCCTGATGGAGCTCGTCAGAGATCAATGAATTGAATGATTGACCCCGTTCCTCACTCTCTGTTTAGTTGTGTGTGCGCCTTACAATCCGCGCCGGCAAAGTCGCCTCCCCAGTCGCCCCAAGACGCCGCCAAAGCCGTAGATAAAGAGATTGAGCGAATTATGAAATGTCCAAAGGATGCTTACGCTGAGACCTTGTCGATCGATCCCGACTCATCTGATGCCGATAAATTGATTCCGTGGAGACGATTGGGCTATATGACGCATCCACATCATTGTCGGCGGAAGAACGCAAAGGATGCGTTCGAGAGTACGTACAGATTGAGTACCAATCATGCTCATCGACTAACATATAAGACAGAGCTGCAAGACGCCGCAAGCAAAATCGGCGAGGTATACTTTTGGGACGGCAAGACCGACTTGCAAGCAGATGATGATTCCGCAAACGAAACGGACGGTGAGGTCGAGATAGAGGAAGACGAAATACCTATCCCTCCTACACATGTCAAAGACGCTTATCGTGAAGCGACACCGTTGCTATATAAGCTAGGAGAAAACCCTAAAGACGAGGCTATGCTGAAGAAGCTAGAAGAGATCAACGGCCGGATCAAAGAAGGAAACAAATCTTAAAACGCCGGAACGGAGAATAAGAGCGAACGCGTCTCCGACAGTCAATAGTTAATTCTAGCCACATTCTTCGGGCCTTATTATAAAGTAGTGTTAGAAGGATATCGCATCTTGCACGACCATCCAGAGAATCAGGCTATTAAGGCCCGGATCTCTACGGAAAAGGAACTAATCGATGCACTTATTAGGAAGCACCATTTTCCAGCCGAGTGGACTGTCACATCAGCAGACGACTACTTAAAACAGAGGCACTCCGGAGCGGCTATCGCAGACGCCGTGACGGCGGAACTTCCTAAGGTGGAGGGTCTACGCGTCGAGTACCCTTGGCCGACTGCGAGAGCGGCAGACGGAGGTCTGATTATTGGCGTGCGACGGCATGGCCTATGGGGGACATAGGTGTGCATCGAGAGGGTCGAGGAAGGTGGGCAAGTCATCCGTCGACTTGAAGCTGCGTTAAGAGGTTGGGCTTCTAGAAGTGGAAAAGTACAAGGCCACAGCCGGCCACAAAATCTTAAGCGATGGCCAGTTAATATGGTCTAACAAAGATAGGAGTAACTTCGAGGAGCTGCTGTGGGTGATAAAGTCACAAATGCAACGGAAAAACCAGGCGGCAGAAGAAGGATCCGGCCGCAGACTATTGTGTCAGGTTTCGCAAGAGGGGTATCAACATCTTGACCGCGACAAGCTTAGGGAGAGTCCTTGGAACCGCCAGTGCGAACGCTCAAGTCGGTAACATATGCAAGAGAGATGGCATACTTCCGCCCTGGCAAGCCGGACACGTGAGCTCCTTCGAGGATCCTGCCAAAGTCGAGAAGGACCCGGTGCGCCGGAGAGCCCTCAAGGACTTTCGAGCAAAACAGACAGCTGCTGTGGAGGGAGAACCACGAAAGCAACGTAGCCAGAGTGACAGCTCGGAAGGACAGCTGGGCCTATCGGATGCGAGCGAGCAGCGTCTGCAGCGGCTAGAGGTCATGATGATTGACCTGGCGGAAACGCAAAAGACCATGAACAAGACCATGACCAAGACAATGGCCACTATGGCAGAGATGTTCGAACGATTTATGCGAGCGAACATGACGTCTCTCGAGGCATCCGGCAAATAACAGCTGTGAAGCCATACTGAGGTGCTCTGCCAGTGTCATAGCCAAATCCCCGGTTATTGTACTGCCGGATCAGACTGCTACTTCGTCGGCTCGGTCGCTGGGCGGTGGTCGTTTATTGTCATTGGTACGGTAGTAAGGTTGTCGTAGTTAAGTTATTGTCGGCGGACCAGGGCAGCCACGTTGGGGGGGGACCTGGAGAAGGGATCCCTGGCCTATGTAACAGGAACGCATCAAGACTTCCTGAGTAAGGAAGGCTACCACTTTATGCGTGGGCATAGCCACATATGCGTGGGTAAAGCCCCTTACTTAGGAGGTCCCCAGATGTCCCTAAGACCTCTTATATAAATAGCCCCTTTAGACTGCCCCTTTAGAGAGAGAACATGCATCCTGAGCCTAGCTATATGACCCCCTTATTCCGATGTGTATTGACATAACATTTCACCGACAGTTATGAGCCCGGTTGCATGACTAGGGCATCTTTCACTCGGCAACAACCCATTTAAGGCTATCACGAGCCCCAACGCGGCCAATAACCCCTCTCCTATGGTGTTGACGTGAGGACCTAGTCAATTAGGTCATATAGGCATTCGTTGCATCCCTCCTTTAAAGAAAAGGAGGTCATCACTAACTCCAGCAAAATAACCCTCCCGGCGCAAGGCAAGGAGGTATATATCACTAAGCTCAAGGAGAGCTTAGACTGGACCCCCTAGACCAGGGGAATTAAGTCTCTTGCGGTCACGCATGAGGTCTAGGATTACGTTGATCCCGATAGAACCTCGATGTTAAAAGAACCCGCAGACCTTAGCTGGAGCGACGCTGTTGAGTCTATTGGGCTAAAGCCCCTGAGAGCAGCCTTCGAGAATAAGGCCAGGTTTAGGGAGGCCAAGGAAGATTACGTCGAAAGTCTCTAGGAAGCTAGGGAGGAATTCCGCCACTAGGAAAAAGTCAACTTAAAGCAATACGATCGGTATAAGGCTAGGAATAAAGCCCTATAGCAGATTCAGGAAGCTATTAAGAACTCAATCAGTGAGGGACTCCAAGGGGAGACCCTCCTATAGCTAATAGCTCGAGATAAGATTCGAGAGCTTCGTTAGAAGGTTCTTCCCTCTATTAAGGAAGAGAAGACCCTTATCGATGACCGCTATTAGCAGGTTATCAATAAGAAAGGGGTCCGCGACTGGAAGGTTTAGGCCGACCAGCTAGACCAAGTTATCCTTAATTTACGGGATCTAAAGGTCTCTACGATTAACAATACGAAAGTTAGGCAGGACTTCCTTAAGGCCCTCGAGGATTAGGATGTCATATGGGCCTCGAACGTACGGTCTAATAACTTATTGCTTTAACGCCTAAATGCCCTTAAAACGCCGCTCCGAATAGTTATTATAGACTTTAAAAGGGAGGTTAGGATTAGGAAAAAGGGGAAGCCAATAAAGACCGTCAATTAAGCAGGCCAAACGCCTACAACAATAATAGGGGCCGGGACCACCCGGAAAAAGTGTCCAGCCTATAGAAGCCACGTCGTTAAGAAAGATAACTGGTGGGTCAATTGCTGGACCTTTAGGGTGATATTTAACAAGGACCCCCCTAAGGGCTGGAATCTAACCTAAGATCAGAAGGCTCGTATCACTAAGCGCTTTAAAGAGAATCCTCACGAGAAGGAAAAGGCTCTAGCATAGAAGCCATAGATAAAAGAGGGATCCGACAACAATATCACGATCCTAAACAATAACGGCAGTGGCAACGCTGGGGGCAAGGTTTATATAGTCTCCCGGGTTCACCACATGCAATAGAACCGCGAGCCCCTCGTTGATAAAGTTATCTGTTGTCCGCACCTGCGGATTAGAAAGGATGAGTGAGCAATCTATTAATGCTTGTCTATCTAGCTATAGATATAATAATGATCCGAGTCTATATAGACTTAGGCGACGGAGTCGCTATATCTATAGAACCTTCTAGATCCTACTAGAGTCCTCTAATACCCCCCCGTAGCTAGATATAGCTAGAAAAAAATAAGATCGAATACCTAAAGTTTAGAATATAGGATTAGGTATTTATAAGATAGGTAAGTCTAAGTTATCGAATAAACGTAACGTAACGGTCCTAGGTAAGTAGCTTTATTAGTCCGTTAGCTATTATATCCTATATTAAGATATATTAGATATTAAAGTCTCCTTAAGTTACTCGGTTAATAATCTATTTATAACGGACGTCGATATAGCGGGTTTATGCCGATTTTATTAGGTTAAGTACTATAAGCTAGGCGTTACGTAAGTCTATAAATATAATTATTAGTTTTATAGATTAAATCCTTTAATTTTAAATAATACGGTTTATCTATAGTAAAGCTTACCTAGTTAGTATAAGATTTATAAACTTAGCTTCTATTATAGATAGTGCTATAATTATCTGCCTACTAGATTTCTATAAGATTAGATAACCTATAAGAAGAACGATATAGCTAGTAGTCGAGTATATTAGTATTTAGTTAGCGAACGCTATATCTACGAAGGTAAGAAGTAGTAGATTAGTAATAGAGTATTTTCTACCTAAGTATAGAGATAAGTTCTTAGTACTAATAAGATACTTAAAAAGGTATTTAAGTAACTATATATACTATTTAGACTGCTTAGTATTAACTTTATAAAGACGGTTTATTATATACGTAATATTAGGTCTTATCTTAGTTAAAAGAAAGTTTAGTAAGCTAGTTTATTTAATATAGGATTTCTAGAGAGATTTATTAAACGCTTAAGTAGATAGAAGCTTAAATCCTTAGGGCTATAGTATTATTACTATATTAAGCGTCTAATATCTATACTTAGATATAATTTTCTTAGTAAACTTCTCTTATAAGAAATATACGCGCTTATTTAGCCTATCTTTAATAACGGTATATCTAAGGAAGTCGTTTACTTTACTAAGGTCTTTTAGCTTAAAGAACGATTAAAGCTACTCTTTAACGTAGAAGACTATCTCTTTTATTAGTATAGCGACTAGTATATCGTCTATATAAAAGATTAAAATATAGCCTTGCTTTTCGTCCTTAAATAGATAGAGATCTACGTTAAGGGGCTAGAATCTAAGGGTCTTTAAAATAAGTATAATTATAAGAAACTACTAAAGTAAGCTCTTTTATAGGCTATATAGAGCTTTCTTTAAAAGATAAACTCTACTTATACTATTCTTATAGCTTTCTAGCTATATAATATAGATATTTATACCCTTAGGTATATCCGTATTTAAAAAGGCTATAGTAATATTAAACTAATAATATTCGAGGTCGAGAATTACTATCTATATTAAGAATAATTTAACTAATATTATACTTATAACGGTAGTATATATATCCTAGACTGCCTAGCTATCGTATTCCTTAAAATTCTTATAGATAACCTAGTAGGCTCTACTAACTAGTTCTTTTATTAGCAGTTTCTTTTTTTAAAAACCTATTTTCTAGGAAGTAGTTTTATATCGTAAGGTAATTCTTCTAGTATTTATATACTTTAATCTTAGAGGTACTTATACTACTTATTAAATACTAGTTTCTACTTTATCTCTTAATCTAAGGATACTTAAGCCTTTCTATATAACTTAGGAATAGGTAGCCTTTATAGCGAGTTTATAAAGCTTTCCGCTTTTATTACTATTAAATAAAGTATTTCTAAACGGTTTATTAAAGAGACTATATTTAGGGGTAATAAAGCTAAAGCTTAATCTCTTAAATTACCGCGATAAAGCTTTTAATAGTACCCTATAAGTCGCTCCGCGTTTTAATAACTCGGTTAAGGTAAACTTATAACCGGCGTAGTATAAGTCTTACTTATTTCTAGAGAGATTAGCTATTTATTAGCTAGTCCGTTAATTTCCTAGCTATCTTTAAAGTCTAATAAAGTATTTATAAAAGAATTATAGGATTTATCTAGCTCTTATATTATCTTTAGTATTAGTAGATAATAGTCTTATATTTCTTTAATAGATAGACCCTTATTAGTCGTCCTTCCTCTTAGTTCGATAGTTAATAGTAAATTAAATATTCGCTTAACGATAGTTACTTTAGCTTCTTTTTCTTAAACTTTATCGAAAAGCATAGCTTTATACTTAATTATATTAACTTCTTTAGCGCTTACTAACTTTTATAGTTCCTAGAAGAGTTTCTTATAAAAGCGAATATTATATACCTAGATAATTCGATTCTAAGCTAGTATATAAATATAGTATATTTTACTATAAATACCTTCCTAGCTAACTAACTTTCCTTCTTTAGCTCTTAAAGCTATCTTCCTAGCCTATATACGTTATTCTTTCTTAATATATACGTATATAATATAACTAAATATATATAGGCAGCGAATATAAGGTTTATAAAGTTCCTTATTAACTTAAAGAAAACTAGTAAAGACCTTATAAGGTAAGAGTTCTTAATTAGATTTATATAAAATTAAGTTAAGAACTTTAATAATAGATTCTTAAGTATAGGGCTATAAGAATTCTAAAAGCTTAGAGTAAATTATAATATATTAAGCGAGCTATATAATCTTTAATCTAGCCCTCTCTATTAATCTATTCTATTTAGGTATACTAAGTATAGTTAGTTTAAGAATAATTCCGTTTACCTAGGCCTAGGGTATTAACTTTATTATTTAGTTAAAAGATATATTATTATCTATACTATATTCTTAGACCTAATATTTAGTTATTTATTAAATATAAGTATTAAAATCTTTTATAGCTTAAAAGAGCTTATCTTTATATTAAAGAAATCGAACCTAATAGTATTTATAATAAGTATCTACTATATACTATATATAGCGAAATCAGCAATAACCTAGTAGCTTATTCTCGATAAGGTCGATTTAAACGAGACTTAGTAGTTAGGCTAGTTATATAAGCGGCGTACGACTAACGATTAAAGTAGACTTTACGAGGTAGTATATCCTATAATAGTATTCCTTTACTTTCTTATTTAAGATTTTAATCGTTGCTTATTTATAGGCCTTAAG